CTTCTTAAACGCCTTCACTAGTTTCTTTTTATCGTAATCATCAGCGATCCCTTGGACAGTAGTAAGGGTCTTCCTGCCGTTTCTCTGTTGAATTCTTATATGGATATAATCCTCAGTGCCAGCAGGAAGCAGGTCATCACCCTTACTTGCATCAGCAAAGGGGTCTGGGAAGAAAAGATYAAACTTATTCAGTGCTGTGATGGTTCAGCTGCCACCTTCCCACTTATCTTTTGCACGTGAGAAACCGGTAGTGAAATTGTTAGGGCAACTTGGGTCAGGYTGGATATGCGTCCTCTGTTGGCCCTCCCCAAACAGGTCAGTCCAGGACGGCTGGCTCTCCCAGGAACCAGAGAAAGCTTGGGCCTCTCGCCCTAGGCCCGCCCCGCCTCGGCAGATCACGTGCCGGGGAGCTCCGGCTGGCAGGCAGCGCCCCACCCGGCTGATGCAACCGGCCGGAACCCGAGCTCCCGAGGCGGGGCCAGGCCTCCCACCCCATTGGTGAGCACGTTTGTCACTTAGGGCTGGCACCGCCTTTCCATCCCGGCTCCGTGACAACGGCGATGACGTATCGGACGTGACGCATGGGTGGCGGGAGGGGGCGGGTGTGGCCCGAGGAGGACCAGAAGCCATTAGTAAATGCGCCACCCGAGACGCTGGGCCCGCCCAAGGGCTGACCTCCTGCCCGCTCCTTCCGGTCGTATTCAGGGTCCGATCCCAGAGTCCAAACCATCGGCCCTGTTACTCCGAGAGCCTGGACACCTTACTCCCGTCAGAGTTACGAAGGCCCAGAGCGTTCAGCAGATTCCGGGGCCCGGAACGCCCCGCTACCCCAGCAGGGCCCGCGACCTCCCCCTGGCTTACCGAAAGAGTGGAGGTTCTGGATAGCGGACATACGATACGATTCCTTTTCCTCDGTGGAAACGGCCTGCGGAAGGCGGCTGCGGGAGAAGGCGGGCGGGGGGGACGGAGCGTCGGGAAGCGAGGGGGCTCGAGGGGGAGGCTGCTGAGTCCTCGGCGGCGGCTCAGTGACTGGGGCGGAGGGGCGGTGCCTGTATTCACTTATATAGCCGCCCCTGTGACGCCAGCGCGCTGCCCTCACGTCCCGGCCCCACCCACGGCGTCGTGCTCCCAAGCGTCCAGGAGCCACTGCTTCCAATTGGTCCGGGGGCGGGGACGCGGTGCGGCGCCTGCGCAGGAACTTTGCTGCGGGAGGGCGTCCCGAAGACTCCGGGAGATGTGGGAGGCAGAGAGCGAGCTTGGTTTGCCTTGGCGCCTGCGCCGTGCGGGTGGAAGTCTGTCTGGGCTGCGGAGAAACTGGCTGAGGATTCGAGCGCGCCTGCGCACTATGTCATTGGCATGTTCCGCCTTCCTGACCCTGTTGCGGCCCTTCCTGCTCTGATGGGTTTTCGTGGGGTGAGATTGGCTCTCTTTAGAGGGGTTTTGATACTGAGCCTCCCAAATGCAACGGTATGTGTTACTCACCTATATACTTAGTGGTCTACCCATTCGGTCATAAAAAGATGACCGAAAAAGAGATTAGGGTAGCACTTGGATTATTTAGTCAACATAACATACTATAATCGAAACTTTAGATTATCATTTGATTAATCTATTCTAAAAATGGATTAACGCCATCCAGAATTCTCATTCAGATTAGATTAATCAACCTAAGCAGTATGCCCAGCTCACTAGTGTGAGTTCAAGGGGTCGTAACTGGTTCTTCACTAGCACCCCCCCTTCCCCACCCACCAGAGGTCAGGCACCAGAGGGTGTCCCTTGTGTCATACAAGCTGTCTGGAGTACAGTCTATCCAAAACTTAGATGGAATGTTTCCTTCAAAACAATTAACCTTTCTTGCTYTATTTATTGAAACACTCTCAGTTGTTGAGTGAGTGGTGTCAAAAGATCAGGGATTTTAGACCCAGAGAACTCCAGGAGTGAGGCAGGTCAGATAAGACAAAGCCAAGGGTTATGTAAAGGGGTGCAGRTGGGGGCTGGGTGGGAACTGGAGTGCAGTATCTGGAAATCCAACAACTTATTTCTTTAAAAAAATTTTTTAAAAAAATTATTATTATTTTTAATGGTACTGGGGTTGAACCCAGGGGTGCTTAACCACTGAGCGACATCCCCAGCCCTTTTTATATTTTATTTAGAGACAAGAGTCTTGCTAAGTTGCTTAGGTCCTTCTTAGGTTGCTGAGGCTGGCATTCAACTTGAATCCTCCTGCCTCAGCCTCCTGAGCTACTGGGATTACAGGTGTGCACCACCACACCCGTATAGTCTCTCTTTAATTTTTAAATATTGACAATAAGTTGAATTTTTGGAAAAAGTGAAAGCCAACCCTGCCTTCCCCTCCCCAAATGTGTGCTGGCCTTGTGGACAGTCAGTTTTTGCCCCTGTCAGGGTCACTGCCCTCCTGGAGGTGAAGGTTAGTGGGAGAGAGAGAAAATAAACAAAAACATAGTGACAAATTGTGAGAAGTGCCCCAAAGGGTAAATGGGGTGATGTGGCAGAGTGACAGGGCCAGGTTTCTTCTTCAGAAGGCGTGATCAGAGAAAGTCCTGTGAGGAGGAGACCTCTGAACTAGCACTTTTGTACCAGGGGTTCACTTGATGCTTTGACTATATCCCTTGTGGCTTTGAAAATTACATGTTTTCTTTTTCCCAACCTTCTTCTCCCTGACCTTCTCCTCCCTGATCTTATTCTTCCTGATTTATCCTTTCTAATCTCATTTTCTCTGTATCACCTCTTTAAACCCCCCCCTGTTCCTGCTGATGGGCAGGATCACAGCCTTTGGGACAGTAGTCCCCTTTGTTTCTCCTTTGCTAGCAAAGCAATAAACCTTCTTTTTCCTTTTTCTCAAAACCCTGTCCTCGTTATTAGATTGGCATTGGGGACAAGGACCGAGCTTTGGGCAGCACTTTGAGGGTGGGAAGGAGTCCACTGTGGAGCAGAGAAGGAACCCTCACAGACTCAAAAGCTTTGAGGAGGAAAAACTAGCTATACTTGACAATTTGTTTTGATTCTATTTTACTAACAATCTTTTGTTTGATACTTTGACTTCCTTGACATTGGAAAGGAGAGCCATGGCTGTAAATCATGGGCATCCCAGTCACATGGTCATCTGGGTTTGAAAAGTCAAGGGCCCAGCCTGCCATCCTGGGGACCTCTCCACTCAGGGATGTCGCTCTGCTGGAAAGAGTTTGGGGGATCCTGATTGAGTCAGGTGCCCTTCCTAGTGTGCACATAATATTTTGTATTGTAAAATTTGAAAATCATGATGTGGTTGTTATGGTTTAAATATGCGGTGTCCCTCAAAAGCTCATGGGTGAGTCAATACTAGAACATTACGAGATGAAATGACTGGGTTATGAGAGATGTAATCAGTGCATCAGTCCATTGATAGGGATTCACTGGGTGGTAACTGGGGGCAGTATGGTGTGGCTGGAGGAAGTGGGTCACTGGGGGTGTGCCTTTGGGGTACATATTTTGCCCTGTTGAGGAACAGCTTTCTCTACTTCCTGATTGTTCTTTCCAGAGCTGCTTTCCTCCTTCAAACCCTTTGGCCATGATGTTCTACCTCACTTTGGGTCCATGGAACCGGCCATCTGTAGGCTGAAACCTCTGAAATTGAATGCCAAGTAACCTTTTTCTCCTGTCAAATTGTTCTTGGCAGGTCTTTTGATCACAGCAGTGAATAAGCTGACTAAAACAGTGGTCTAATTTATCAATTTTTCCATTTAGAAAAAGATTGTTTTTTAATTTAATTTTATTTTATTTTGGTACTAGGGACTGACCCTAGAGGTGCCTTATCACATCCCCAGCCATTTTTAGTATTTTATTTATAGACAGGGTCTCCCTGAGTTGCTTGGACCTCTCTAAGTTGCTGAGGCTGGCTTTGAACTCTGATCCTCCTGCCTCAGCTACCTAAGTCACTGGAATTATAGGCATATGGCACTGCATGTGGTGGAAAAGATTCTTTTTATGTCATTAAAGAAGTTCTTTTTCTGCCCCCCAGTTATCAAGATTTTGTATTTTGAAAGTTTCTTTTTTTCTTTTTGGTGATTGAACCCAGGGGTACTTTTGCCATTGAGCTATTTCCCTGGTCCTTATTTTTTTATTTTGAGACAGGGTCTCATTAGGTTACTGAGCCTGGCGTCGAGCTTACCGTCCTTCTGCCTCAAGCCTCTAGAGGCTCTGGGATTGCAGGTGTGCACCCCTTCCCCTGCTGCATTTTGAAAGTTTTAAAGCTTTGCTTTTCACATCTAGGTCTTTAAGCTACCTGGCATGTATTTTTGTATGTGGTGGGAGACCAGGGTCTCATTTCCCCACTCTGGATAACCAGATATTCCAACAACGATTATTGAATGATGTATCCTTTCCCCACCAACTGGTCATGCCTTCTCTGTCATAATTGTGTCTGTTCATGTAGGTTCTTTTCCCCTGGTTGATCCCTGAGCCACACTCTCATTACAGGTGGGTTATGAAATGTCTCGATGTCCAATAGGATGTGTGCCTCATTCTTGTTTTTCCTTAGAATGTTCTAGGCTATTTATTGTTTGGTCCTCGTTCCCTGTGTTCCAGCAGCTCTACGAAACACGACAAGCTCTGATCAGGCTGTTTGTGCCTGCTTCTCTCTTACTTGGAATATGTCCTTCCGTCCACATTGCCCACCCATCCTTCCAGACTCAGGTGGCATCACCCTTCTTCTGAGAAGACTGGGCTTAGAGCCTTGCTCTATGCAAGGCTTGACATTTATTGTGCTGCTTTTTTGCATTCATGTTTCTTGGACTAGTTACATAGTTTCCTAGGCTCAGTATTAAAATGAAAACATGAGATCTTTTTTTTTTTTCAAAATGGTTAGAAATTTTAAGGCAGTGATAACAGAGCCTAAAGGCAAGTGTCCCCTAATTGTGGGGTGTTATGTGACTTGCACAGGTCACATGCCCTGGAATCTGGCCCTTCATCTTCCCTTACTTGTCTTCCCTGCTAGGCTGTAAGCTTAAAGAACAGGGTACGTGCCTATCTGCTCTATTCCCAAAGGAGGCAGATGAACACGTGGGCATTCATTATAGATAATCAGCTACCAAGAGTGGCCAACCSTGGCTGTAACCTCTGCCCCCCTTTAGGAGGAGCAGAGGAGTGAGGCAAATCCCTTTTCAGAGGTCTGATTCTGAGCTCCAAAGGGAGATACTGGACCTGGCYTCCTGGCACAGGGCAGGGGAGGTGCCCTAGCTAAGCAGCTTTGCCCAATCCCTCCTGTCTGCACTTAGCCTGACCTGGCATGCATGCCTGGTGCATGGTGCCAGACCTGACCTCAGTGCGCTGTAAATAGTTATTGCCACAACACACACACACACACACACTTTGACCCAGGTGGGATGCAGGTGAGAGTGCAGGCCTGGCACGTGGCTGGGGAAGCAGGAGGCCCAGTTCTTGATGACGTGGCTCACCTGTCAGGGCTCCAGTTCTATCCCCCAGAGAAGGACTGGGTGATTCCTTCCCAGGTCTGCAGCCCTATCTCCCAGCTTGGCAGCAGCATTCCTTTGAAGGGTCTATTAGAGTTCCCCTTCCAGGTGGGAGCTTGTCTTGTCTCTGGGAGCCTATAGTATCTTCATAGATCCAGACTAATTGTTGGGAAAGTGACTGCTTTGCCTGCTGTTAATGCTTGCTTTTTAATGACTGCTTTTAGTTCTGAGGTTGTGTCACCTGGGAAGCCAAAGGCAGGGTATGTAGCACAGAYTCTGGAGTATCCAAATCTCAGCATCCATTCCACCTCTTCCTTCCTGGGCCACATGCCTCTCTCAGTCTTCATTTTTTCCTCTGCATTATAAGGACAGTAACACCCTTCCCTTAGGCAGTTGAAGGGATTTAAGGAGGAGAATATAGGCATGGGGATAAAAAAAATGTAGAGTTATAAAATCACTAAGTAGATTCTGCCAGTTTTCCAGTGGAGAGAACAACAGGGGACAGGGGAGACCTCTTCAGAATGGCATGGGGCAGAGGTAGGCTTCGCTCCATGGTGATCTCCTTGGTATGTGAC